CCGTGAGACAGAGACACAGGTGGAATATAAGAGAGACATGTTGACTATAAGACTGAGACGGACTGTGAGACAGAGAGAGGTGAACTATAAGACTGTGAGAGGGACTGTGAGACAGAGACACAGGTGGACTATAAGACTGTGAGACAGAGAGACAGGTGGACTATAAGACTGTGAGACGGACTGTGAGACGGACCGTGAGACAGAGACACAGGTGGAATATAAGAGAGACATGTTGACTATAAGACTGAGACGGACTGTGAGACAGAGACAGGTGGATTATAAGACTGTGAGACCCAACTGTTCCCAGTGAAGAGAACAGTGTGTATGGCAATCTTTGGCAATATTGTTGTTACACATTCATGCCAAATTCAAATTAGCTTTATTGGCATGAATGTGTAATAGCAATATTGCCAAAGCATCATACATACAACATAAGAACAATCAGCCCCATACATTTCATTAAACAAGTAATTAAAATGTAAAGTAATCAAAGCGTATGTGTGTTTGTGTTTAAAAAAAAGGAAAAAAATTCAAAATTCAAATAAAATAAATAAATAAAACAGCAAGCGTGTGTGTGTGTGTTAAAAAAAATTAAAATAAAATAAATAAATAAAACAGTAAGAAAGCGCGCGTGTGTGTGCGCGTGCGTGTGTGTTAAAAAAATAAAAATATATAAAAATAAATAAAACAGTAATGTGTGTGTGTGCGTATATATATTAATAGACAAAAAATGTAAAAAATAATTAATTGATTAAAAAAAAAAATAAATTTAAAAAAGAAATCAGTATGAAATGTAAAAATAAAACAATTACTAAAATATCAAACGATCATAATAATAATAATTTTAAAATCTTTTCAATTATTTATGAGTCTGAGGCATATTTACTGGGCATTTCTCCCAGTAAATAGGGGAGTTTCTGTGTGTCTGATATGAATTCGAATTCGGGGTATATTTGGGAAATGTTGGGAAGTGTTTTATATTTAGAGCATGAGGTAAGAAAGTGCAGCTCTGTCTCTACCTGTCCCCTGTCACACTGGGAGCAGAGTCTCTCCTGTTGTGGTAGCCAGCTCTGTCTGTGGCGACCCTTTTCTATGGCCAGGCTGTGTTCACTCAATCTGTATGTTGTCAACATTTTTCTTAGTTTGGGACATTTTATTGTACTCAGGCAATTTGCCAGTGTGTTCTCTTTTTAGGGTCAGATAACATTGTAATTTACTTTGTGTTTTGGTTGTTTCTTTCCAGTATTCAATATATTTTTCTTTCTGCTTGCTGATAATTTGGTTTGGTCTGCTTGAGTTGGTGTTGTTGTCCTGAGGCTGTTGGGGACTTGCTACTGCAGAGAGCCTCAGGACCAGCTGGCTGAGGGGACTCTTCTCTGGTTTCAGCTCCTGGTATGTTAGGGCTTTGTGATGATATGTCTGGGGGTTAACTGATTTTAAGTGATTGTAAAATTTAAGTGATCTTTTCTGTATTTTTAGTAAGAGGGGGTATTGGCCGAGCTGTGCTCTGCACAGGTTATTTGGTGTTTTTCTCTGCACCTGCAGGATGCTCTTACAGAACTCTGTAAGTATGGAAAGATTCTATGATTGTTTTGTCCCATTTGTCAAATTCATTATTAAGTTTTGGCCCCCAGATTTCACTACCGTATAGAATTATTGGTTCTATTACAAATTGGAAAATTTTAAGCCAGATTTCAATTGGAATATAGATTTTAATGTTTCTTTTTATTGCATAGAAAGCTCTCCTTGCTTTGTCCCTCAGATCTTTCACAGCCATGTTGAAGTTCCCTGTGTATGTAATGTTGAGGCCAAGGTAAGTGTAGTTTGTGTGTTGTAATTTAGTGGTGTCTAAATAGAAATTGTGTGTAATCTGATTTCTGTATTGTTTCTGAAAAATCATTATCTTAGTCTTTGCTGTGTTTACTGTCAGGGCCCAGTTCTTTGATCTTTCTCTGCTTATTAACATCAGCTGGGCAACCAGCTATTCTATATAGATAGGAAACTCTCTGAGACTTTGAAACAAACCACTCTAGAGACAAAACTATAGGTTGTATCGATGAAATGACCTGACCGTCAGCGGCAGAAGTCATTTGGGCAGGATATAATTTTTGTGTGGATAAAGTTGAAAAAAGGGACCACTTTGGCGAGTTGAAAAACTGGTACCTTCTGCTCTGGTCAAGAAATGTTGAGGAGAATTTATATTGGCTCCCAGTGGAGGATTTTCTGTCCCTCTTGTCCTTTGGAAGGGCACAGAGACAAATCTATAAGTCCGAGTGATTTACTAAACACGTGAGGAACCACAACAAAAATACCTACATTTCTAGTATAAAATGATGCCTGACGAGTTAAAATTGTGGTCAGGGCAGCGATTTAAATATAAATTTTTAAGATGAGTTTGCAAGCTTCCTCCCCTCTAGCGATGATGTCACGTGGTCTAACTCCCAACATTCCGTCCCATAGACACTCATTATAAACTCAGAAAAGAGGCTGAAACGACATGAAACTTGAATTGAGATTGTGTAAAAAGTATAAAAGATGTGGAAAAGAATGAACTTAACTTGAATTAACTGGAAATAGTCCAAAGGTTTGTGAACGTTTTAAAGTTGGAATGGCGTTTCTACGGGAATGAATGAATTTGTGGGAAGAGGTTGAAGATCAGTGATTTTGAATTATAAAAATGTCATTATAAAAAGTTTCAAAGAAAGTTGAATAGCTTGAAGAGATTTATTAGGATTTGAAAGTTGAATAATACGAAGATGTGGAATCTTTTCCATTTTGAATGGAGTGTCTATCTGAAAGTATAAATGAGTAGTGAACAGTTGAATATAGGGACATTTTGAACATTCCATCCATTCACTTGAATGGGGAAAAAATGTCTGGAAAACCTTGAAAAGTATGAAGGTTATCAAAATTCTGAATAATAGCAATTGATTCCTAATTGAGATGAATATTTTAAGCTGAAAACTGTTGAAAACTGTGGAACTAGTTAGGTTGCAAAAAAACAAGCGGAATAAGAAAAATAAAGAATTCCTATACAGTAGAAAAACATATGTTGTGAATGCTTCCAGCAGCGCAGTGATGCAGTGATTAGCACTGTCACCTCCACAGCAAGAAGGTTGTGGGTTCAAACCCCGGTTGCCCCAGCCTTTCTGTTTCTTCCTCCCACCATCCAAAGACATGCAGGCTAGGTTAATTGGTGTCTCTCAATTTGTCCTTAGGTGTGAATGTGAGTTTGACTGGTTGTGTGTCCCTGTGACGGACTGCCAACCTGTCCAGGGTGTACCCTGCCTTTCGCCCATTTCCACCATAAATTGGTGCAGAAATTAAGTGTTTAATGCCCAAAGTCTTGTGGGGGAGGCCCCACAGACCCCCCACTGATATATTTCAGCATCGAATATTTATTCATAATACTGTTAAAATATCTTCTCATCTTGGTCTTGTGACCCAAATATGCCGTCACACTCCTAATCTGAGCCCTTATGTCTTCATTATTTTGCAACACAAAGTGATGCAATCAGCAAACCTTTGAAATGTTGAAGTCATTGTTTTGCATGAATGGTTATAATTATGACAAGTTATTACTTAGCATTAACAAATAACGACCATGTAGAGCATATTTCTTGCACAAAAATTTAATAAATGACAGGGAGACAGATTATCCACATAAAGTGTGGCAAGTAAATATATTAATATTATACTAACATTTTACTTTGTATTTAGGCCTTACGGGGAGTACTGGCACCTATTAATTTCCACTTCAAGCACTGGGTGTAACGGAACACAAAGTTCCTGGTAGCTACGATTTCAGTACAGTGGAAAGGGCCTTAGTAGTGTTAGCTATCATGCACTACAGAGAAACCCAGAAACTTTTGCCTTTAACAGAATATCATTCCACCCTCAGCTTGGTGAGTCCAAACTCACTACCTGTAAGAAATGACACAGTAGCTCTTATGTAGCCTACAACTGTCATCACAGGCAGAGTAACTAGTTACATGTAATTTTGTTATGTACAGACAGAGAAAACTGTCCAGAGGAAACAGAAGTTTAGCATTAATGTTTAGCTTCTGACATAATTTAATAATAAGAGGACGGCTGCTTTAGTTAGTTTCAATGCATGAACCTGGACTGTGTGTGAGACCTTTTGTATGTGGAGAAGAACACAGAACATGAATTAACATTAGATCCTGACCTATCCTGTTGGTGTGTCAGGAGATTGTTAATCTCCAGTTTAATATTTAGTGCCTCATGCGTAAATGTGTACAGCGTCTCTCTCAATGGGGAGATGCTTCAACCTATTTCACCCACCCAGAAATTCACACACGGATTTATCTCATACCCTTTTCCAAAGTAAATGGTATCGCCCAAAACGCCGCTTGCAAACAGTGGTGCTCTCAGTTTTTGTGTCCACAACGTTTTCATGTGTTTCCCCAAGTCTGGACACTGATCAAGCAACAGTTTTTCAAGTTGAAATAAGGATTGCAACAGTGTCATCAGATGTGTCCGCATGGTCCTAAAGCCTTTGTTTAAGTTGATTGTTTCATGGTTTTTATTCAAGTTTTTTTATTGATATGCTATAGTCTACATATAATTACAGAGGTCAAAATGTAGATTGTAAAACATAAGTGAAGATGATGGATCCAGGTGTACAATTGAGCAGCTTCAGGTGTTATCCCAATAGAGTAGTATCAGAATGACACAACTCCCTCTCAACCATTGGGAACCAGACAGAGCCATGATAACATGTAAATTAAGGAGAGAAGAGAAGGAGAGAGGCTAAATCTCCTAGGAGATGAAAATTCAGATAATCTTTTTCATATCATGATTTATTAGTTATATTATGGCTTCACATTTGCATACTGGTGGATCACCCATTTTTTAATAGTCTAGAATCGAAACCCCCCAGGTGAGCCATAATTTGCAAAACAAAATCAAGCATTGACTTTTTAAATTAATATGACAAAAGTATTTATGACATGACAGTTTTTCTTTTTCTTTTTTAGAATGATGAATAGCAATGGCATAAAAGAGATCCAGCGCTATGCCTTCAATGGGAGCAGCCTGGAGGAAGTGTATGTCATTTGAATTTTTGCAGTGAAACTAAAACAAAAGCTCAAAAAGGATAACACACAGGATGGAACTCACTAATATTTTAATTACATCCAACTTTCTAATAATGTGGTTCAGCTTTAACAGACTGGCTGGCTATTAGAATTACTATTGTGTAGTAATTAAGTTAAATGGGATTTAGTGTATATCAGTAAAACAACTGATTCATTTAGTCCACATCACTTTGCCTTTCATCTATTCTCTATTCTTCAGGTATCTTCACAGGAATGTGGATTTGGAACGTATAGATGAATTTGCATTTTATGGTGTGATTCGTGGCCCAACTCACTTGTAAGTGACAAAAATATACAGAATTTGGGTTACGAATTAGTGTTCTTCTTGTGAAAATAAATTTACTTTGTGTTTTCTTTCACTAAATACTATTCTTTTTAATTATCTCTTTATTTTGCAAGTACTGCACATGGCTGGATACAAGCGCAGCTTCAGCTTTGTGTTCAACTGAATTAATCTTAACTTTCTGTCTTTCCAGAGACCTTTCAGAAACCAAAGTTAGCTCTTTGCCTTCAATAGGTATGGAATCTGTTGAAAAGCTCCAAGCTAAAAACACTTGGGCCCTCACAGCACTACCCCCCTTTCAAGCCTTTCTCCATTTACAGAGTGCTGAATTGACTTTCCCAAGCCATTGTTGTGGTCTTAAAATGTTGAAAAGATGGAGAGGGTAAGTAAGAGAATTGAAAGTGTTGTGAAATATTTTCCCACTGCGGTTTCTTTTATACATACCAAACTACCCTCAGGTCCACAGTATAGTGTATGTTTGGGATAGTCATGAAAGCTGGTCCAGTCTAGCGTTATTTCAATGACTTTTTCAGCATTTTAATGATTTTTTTTATATTGAAACGTTACTGTTTAAGAAATCCTGTGCAGTGTTGATCTCTTGTAGTCACTTTTTTAATTAATATTTTGGCAAGTTACTCACAACTTGTAATAAGTTACTAGTTACTTATTACTCCTTAAAAAAGTAATATTACTTTACTTATTACTGGGTGATAAAATTAACTTGTTACGTTACTCGTTACATTACTATATTACTTTCACTACCACCCGTCCCCCCCAACCAAAGCAGTCACTCCCGACATGTTAACTAATATCATTTTCATAACAGCAGCAAGGAGTTTGTTTTTTACAAAACATATAATGTCTCTTAACGCCACCGACTGAAATAAAAAAAATGAAGCAACTAAGTCCTGACTTTTGATGCACATGTATTTATTAGAGCAGTATTCAGTATTTTTACAAACGTTACGTTGCTTAACACTGCTCTCTCTCAACAAGTCCAAGCCTCACTGGCAGTAGCTGTCGCAGTTTCTTTCTGTAAGTTTCACGTTGCTGTGCTGCTTCAGCAGATGCTTCAATAAATTAGATGTAGAAATGTTTGTGGTTGAAAGCTTTTTTGCTGGTCGCAGCTCTTCCAATTGTAATATTAAACCGTAGCCATAAGATCAATCATACATCTAGGCAGCTGATAGCATCATGAATTGCTATCACTTGCAACCGCTATCTGCCCCTCTCAAGGTCCTATTCACAAAAAGATATTGCGCTAATGATATTACAGCGTGACCACGCCCATGAAGTGTTGCAGCTGAGTGCAACTTGCCCTTGTTTTACATCTGTTAAATTTCATCTGCAATTTTCTGTAATGGTCCCTATATAATATTTTTTTTTAAGGTTAAGTGATGTAGTATATCACATGACATGAGTAACCAACATATGAGTCGAAACAGGTTATAAGTACAACTGCAAAAACAAAACTTTCCAGTCATATCTTAAAATGTTTGTTTGAAAGAAAACATTCTTATTCTAATAAATATTCTAATTATCTATTAACTCCCTCTGCTTTTATATTCGTTTTTATCTGCAGGATGTTTCCTTCTTCTTTGACTCTGTTGACTCTTGTTCTCAGAGGGGTTATTTGGGATGATTTAACTGTGAGCTTCCCCTCGTGTCTGCATGCAGTTTTCTCTGTTCTCTGCTGGACTGTCCATAAACCTTGCCTCCGCTTCTCATGGCAGCAAGTTTTATGTACCACCAACTTTGCTGATAATGCTAATAATTTCACTCTAGCTGCATGTAGCTATTAGCGCTAATTGGGCTTTTTTTGCACGAAGATCATTTGCATAGACAGGGGCCAATTTTGTACCAGATGTATGCATTATATCATTGAAATATGTGCCAATAACACAGTTTTTATAATATTAAATTCTGCTACTACTTTTGAAGGAACATAGTTATTGAAATTCTCTATACTTTTTGTACCTGGTTCTCCCTACTAAATGTTTCTGTAGGATTATGTTTACCTGTGTAATTTATCTTTTTTTGATATTTGTAAATGTACTGTGCTTATTCATATTAGAAGAGCTCAGTTTGACAAGGAATTGCTGCTGGTGGTCTCTGATAGGTGTTTTTTCTATATACCACTATCAGGGTAAATTTTTGTGGTGGGTAAAATCGTTGGGCCTGCCACTTTGTGGACAGAGAAAACAAAGAGAAAGACACGTGTAGTAAGGTTGCGATTGTGGCAATCAGCACATACCCCTGCATCACACACAGAACAGACACCAGTCAGCGCAGGGAAAATCTGTGGCTGCATTTCAAACCGCACTCACTTGTCGAAGATGCCCAGTCCGTCCTTTGACAGCCGGTTAGTTTTCCAGCAGTGCACTGGCCAGACTACAGGAGGTAATTCCGGTGTTGTCAGAGAATCACTAAGCTTGTACAGTAGACACAAGAGGCCTCACTTTGTTTTATTCTGTATTTACTCTGGTTGGTTGAGCTGTGGGTTTTGTACTGAGCTCTGACTGTATAATACAAATACCTGGTTGTTAATGATTGGTAAGTAATTGGTTGTCATGTATTGAAATACATGGGTCCTTTGTGGTTGTATTGTGTAAATATTTGTATATATTTTGAACATTGAATGACATTATTTACATTAAATGATGCCTTAATGATTAAGCGCATACAAAAAAAGTGGCAGACAAAAAAACATGCCTGCCACAGTGACACTACTATATAATATTTTATATACATTATATGATGCTTGTGCTGTCTATGGTTTTTATCTGAGGAAGGTCTGAGGACTAACACATTGTTAATGAACAACAAGTGTTCAAGAATGTGCATTTTTGCTTTTTGATCCTGTTCAGCAGGAGACATTCTGATGTGGAACTTTGTAGTATAACATTTCATTATTTGCATGCACCCAAAGTGTTGTAGTTCATTCTCTGATTAATGATTCTTATCTGTTTTCAAGACACTCTGAGGCAATTATCTGCAACCTGACCCGGACTGTTTTGGGAAATCTGCAGGAATCCCCTGCAGCTCTCTCTCAGAGTTATCTGGGACACAAAATCTACCAACATCTGAAAGACCGCTTTAGTCTCCCAACTGCTGCCAGTACAAATGACAATCCTTACTACAACAGCCCCATTTGCCCCACCGAACAGTCTCAAAATGAGGGTTTGTTTTATGTGGAGTTACCTACAGAGCATCTCAATGAAGGTTTCAACTTTGCACTATGTAATGAACTTCACACAGATAATCATGGACTCTTATGCAACCCCTTGCCTGATGCACTGAACCCCTGTGAGGATGTAATGAGTCAAGGCTTCCTGAGGATGTTGGTCTGGGTGGTCAGTCTTTTAGCAATTTCAGCCAACCTTCTTGTGATGTTCATCCTGCTGACCAGCCGACAGAAGTTGTCCGTTACTCGTTTCCTCATTGGTCACCTGGCATTTGCAGATTTTTGTATGGGGATGTACTTACTGCTGATTGCATCTGTCGACGTCTACACCCGCTCCTATTATTACCATTATGCTATTGCTTGGCAAACAGGAAGGGGCTGCAATCTAGCAGGGACATTATCAGTGTTTGCCAGCGAGCTATCTGTATACACATTGACTTCAATCAGCTTTCAGCGCTGGCATGTTATCTTCTACGCAATGAGGCCAAACAGAAAAATGAGGTTACGGCATGTAGCTGTGCTGATGCTCGTTGGCTGGTTGCTGTGTGTGACTGTAGCACTGCTGCCAGTGGTTGGTGTGAACAGTTACCAGAAAGTGAGCATCTGCTTACCCATGGACACTAGAACAACTGCTGCTCAGGCCTATGTGGTCTCTGTCCTGATGGCTAATGTGATAGCTTTTATGGTGGTATGTTTATGTTACCTCCACATCTACTGTATGGTGCACAAACCCCGGCACCAGTCCAGCAGATGTGATACCAGCATGGCCAAACGCATGGCTGTTCTTATTTTTACCAACTTTCTCTGTCTGGCTCCCATTTGCTTCTATGGCTTGTCTGCAGCTCTCCACCAACCATTGATGACTTTCACAGATTCCAAGGTGGGACTTCCTCTGGGGCTTTAATCGACATAAAAGAGAAATAATAATAAAGGCTGATCTATGTTTTTCTCCACAGGTGCTGCTGGTGCTTTTCTATCCTCTCAACTCTTGTGCACATCCATTTTTTTATGCTATCCTGACAAAGGCATTTCACAGAGACATCCTGATGTTGCTGAGCCGGATGGGGCTGTGCCAGCAGCAAGCACATCTCTATTGAAGCCAACTTGTCGGTATTACTCCCCACATATACAACAATGTCTGACCTGCAGTCCAGCCCCCACATCCCAAGACGTTCAAGTGCAGGAAGCACCAGGGTACAAGATGCCACAAAACTGCTTTGAAATTTGATTGTTTTCAAAAAAAAATTCTTGTAGATTTAAAAAGCATCACTTGTTATATTTATAGTAACCTAACCATTATACAGCATGCCATGGTTTTTTAGAATTTTTGATCTATTAATTTCATAGATCAAAAGTAAGTAAGTACCTGGATACCTCTAAAAAGGTGGTTTTATTTATAGTTGTTTAATTTTATAATACTTAAACTATACTTTAAATGTGCGTTATTCAGCTTCATTCAACGTATAGCCTATACTGTATAATATCATCAACTTAATCATCTGTAAATTAGTATCTGTAGACTAGTCCTTATTATGTCTTATTCTGGTTTTAATAACATAACCTGGTTAATTATATCCCTGTGTGATTAGATTAAATTTATCAGTACATGTGTTGTTTAAAAGTAGCTTTCTGGTATTTTTGACTGTCTTCCTGTGTTTTGTGCTGCAACTTGCCCTTGTGTTTGTAACTGAACATTTCCTATCTGTAGGGGCAGTAGGTAGACTGACAACAAATCCAGGTTAATTTAAAGTTACTTTCTATTAAGTTTATATTAAATATGAAACATGGATAAACATTTACTACATGTGTTGTGACTCCTGTTCAGACTACTCTCCTAAAAGGTCAGTAGTCTGAATCATGCCGCATCATCCTTGGGCAATTTAAGCATGACATTTAGAGCTTTCAGACGAAACAACCTGGCTACTGGTCTAGTCAGCCAGCCAGCCAGCCTGTGTAACATTGCCTTGCATCATTGCCGGAATAAGTGGATGTAGGCAGTGCATATACTATACATGTACTATAGGAGAGGACACAAGAGAGATAAATGCTACTTTCTGTCAGAGTTTGACGGATGGTGACCTTTGACCCCCCCACCCCTGAGAGGATGTGGGTGTAGCTACCGTAAACCAATATGAAAGTCCCAGGTGTGGTTTACCATGGACCAATGAGGGAGGACAGGGTGTAGTTTGACTGGGTAGTCATTATTATTTTTAGATTATTCAATTAATGAGGGAAGTTGAATGTATTAAATAATCTGTATCCATGTGATGCAGTTTCTGGTTTTGTTGCTGAAGTAGCATTGCATTAGCACACTCTCCCACTCTCTGTCTCACATGAATAATTCATCAAATAGACAGCACTGTAGTGAACCTACACTTTGTTAATAAAATTACGACTATTAATACCTGGAAATATTAATCTCATAAGCACTCATTCAAAAGGGGCACCACTCAGCTTTTGGGAAGGAACTGAGAAAACTTATTAATCACTTTATTAATCAATCTAATTTCTAAGGTGTGATAAGATGAATATATATTTCTAAACTACAGGATAGTGTTGTAGTACTCGAGACCAGTCTTGGTCTCGAGACCGGTCTTAAGACCACTTTTGATGGTCTTGGTCTCGTCTCGGACATTTGTACTCTGTTTTGTCTCAGGCTCGGACATTGAGGACTTTATTTCAAGACCAGTCAAGACCATAACTTTGGGAATATCAATAAATTGCTTTTTGCATTGTCTGATTTATTTGTTAAGATCCTAACTTTGATTGGATGTAAAACGTATTGCTTCAAATGCAACCAATACCCGTAATGAAAAATGTGTTGTTCCCGTTGACGACTGTGACCCCTTCCTGCGATGGTAAGCATGGAGTGTTGAATAAAGATGCCTATGTTGATTTCGGCTCTTGTATGTGGATGTTTTAATGAGAATGTGGATGGTTAAGATAAATTTTTATTGTGTGTCATTGTTAAGCCTGAGCCCAACATGATGTCTCCTCTCTTTTTCCCACTCCCCATAAATCATCAAAAGGCCATGGGATATTTTGATGGTTAATAGTAGATCTATTCACAGATGGTATAGAAAACCAAGACATCAGGGAGAGCTAGGCCAAAACAACAAACAAAACCACCTTTTCCCATCCCAATAATTAAACCTACAACAAAGTAAAATAAAAAAGGAAAGAACAAATACTTAACTCCCTGGCCAGAAAACAGGAGAAAACAATGTTCAAAATAAATGGCAGCTCTCCCCTACTGTTTTCCAACATTACACCGCTAACTTCCAGCACAGAGGTGAAGTACAACAAAGGGTAGGCTATAATACACCAGGAGGTTTTCCCCAGAACACCCCATCTGGCTGGGGAGGTAGGGGAAAGGGAGGAGAGTGCGCGCGACCTCCACACAGGTCCCTTTATACAGGAAATCCTCCAGCCCAATCCGCTGTCCACCATCTGTAACACAGACAAACAAAACGGCTCCTCCCTCGGGTAGGGAGGGTAACAGCAGGCAGATAACAGCAGGCAGAAATACACATCATTGAGACTGACAAACCAATATGACTCCAGGTCATAACACCCCCTCACTTAAGATCGAACATTTCTTTAGGAGGGACTCCCAACCGAGATAACGCATCAGCCACAACACTGTCCGACCCCTTTATGTGGTGAATCTCAATATTAAAATCCCGCAACAACAATGACCAACGCATCAGACGGTGATTGTTGTTGTGCATATGGGATAGAAATACTAGGGGATTGTGGTCTGTAAAGACCAGAACGGGGCTTGTAGTCAAACCAATACAAAACTTCAAAATGCTACAACGCCCACAGTAGTGCAAGTGCTTCCTTCTGAATTGTGCTATAATTCACCTGAAATTTGCCAAATTTCTTAGAAAAATAGTACACAGGATGATCAACACCACAGCGTTTCTGGAACGGGAAAATCCAGAATGGCCTGAACTTTAACCACCAGGGGGTGCACCTGCCCCACTTGTTTCCCTAAATAGGTGACCACCGCCTTTCCAAACTCACATTTCCCCAGATTAAGGGTCAAGAAAGCCCTCTCCAGGCGACAAAATACTTCCTGCAGAGTGTCTAGGTGATTAGACCAAGTGGAAGAAAAGACTACAATATCGTCCAGATATGCTTCACAATCGTCCCGACACCTGACAGAACTATACCCATCAGCCGTTGGAAGGTGGCAGGGGCATTTCTTAACCCAAAAGGCATGACTGTATATTGAAGGAAATTGTCAGGGGTGACAAAAGCTGAAATATCACTTGCACGCGGTGAAAGAGGCACCTGCCAATAACCTTTCAACATATCCAACTTTGTGACATACTTTGCTGATCCCACACGATCTACACAATCATCCATCCAAGGCACAGGGAAAGAATCAGGTTTGGTAATAGCATTAACCCTTCGGTAATCATTACAAAAACGTGGGGTTTGGTCAGACTTTGGAACAAGAAGCGACTGTGAGCTCCATGGACTAGGGACCGCAAAGCCATTTTCCAAGAGGTATGCAACCTCCCTTTGCATCGCAACTCGCTTTACCGGGTTGACGCGATTATGCATGCTGTTTAATAGGTTCATGCTCACCAACATCTACATTGTGCTGCAAAAGTGTGGTTTGTGTGGGCTTATCACCGAACAGAGAAGCATGACACCGAATAAGGTGACAAATATCACCCTTTTCCTGATTCGCTAAATAAGCCAAATGTCCCTCTAGGTCCCCCAACGCTTTGGAATTCTCTAATCAAGCACCCTGAACTAACAAAGGTTGTTCCCGGAACCCATCGTCTGTGGGACTGTACGACGGCGAGACTATGCTCGCCACGGGGCTGACACATAAGCCAACATCGTCACGGCTAACGTATCACTTCATCATATTTACATGACACACACAAGGGACCCTTTTTTTTTTTAATCAGGCATTTTGACCACATATTCTGTGTTACTCAATTTTTGTCCACATCATAAAGGACCACAGAACTTCGTCTGAAGACTAGAACCAACAACAGGTAACAAGATCAACACACGATCACCAGGCTGAAAAATCGCTCCCAAAACGAACTCATATAGTCAAGGAGATGGTGTGTCGGACTGGGTTTGTCTGCCAGCCATCGTTTCTGCAACAACCGCAGAGGGCCTCGCACAGTGTGCCCAAAGACCAGTTCTGCTGGACTAAACTCAAGAGATTCCTGCGTGGTCTCACGGATAGCAGACAGCAATAATGGCAACCCCTAGTCCCACTCTCTATTGGATTAATTGCAGTATTTGCAAAGCATGGAATTTAAAGTTTGATGAAACCTCTCCAGCACGCCCTAACTCTCAGGGTGGTACACACTGGCAACCTGGTGTTGAACCGACACCTCCGACATGACTTGTGTAAAAACCGTCGACATGAAATTAGAACCCTGATCAGTTTGAATGCGTTTGGGCAGACCAAAAGTGGAAAAGAATTTTACTAGAGATTTCACCACAGCCGTTAACCTTAAATTGCGCAACGGGACCGCTTCCGGGAAACGAGTGGCCACACACATCATCATTAGTAAATACTGGTGTCCTGATTTGGTTTTTGGTAAAGGACCAACGCAGTCTATAATGACATGTTCAAAAGGTTCCCCCATCACTGGAATCGGATGCAACGGGGCGGGCGGAATCACCTGATTAGGTTTTCCAGTAATTTGGCAAATGTGACAAGATCGACAAGATCTGACACTGAACTGTGCTCAGACTTGCACTAATAATGTACTTTAAATGATGGGAAATTTACACTTGTTAATACTGGCTCCAAGGAAGAATTATTCCAGTTGGGATAGAGAAACTGAAATAATAATAATAATATACATATTACATAATATACATAATATACTATACAACATACATAGGTGATTTGAACAGTAAACAGGATGGATGCTTGGATTAGAATCTCAACAGAATCTAAAAATACAAATTGTCCCATTTATAATAATAATGTACAGTATGTTAAATCACAACACTCTGCAGTGTTCCTACAGTAATGCAAATCCATAACTAATTTAGAAAAAATAATTTTTTCTCTAAATTAATTCTAATATACAGTGTAATCATGGAACAATCAATGAAATTAATTTTTGACAATGTATAGGATAGTGTTAGTCACTAACATGTTGAGGAACTTTGTGTTCTTTCTGCTCTTCCTCAGTCAGCTGTGTTACGGTGCTGTGAGGATGCGAATCTGCTCAGATGCTTGGCAAAAGACACCACTTTCTCTGTTTTTTCCACACCTTTGTGCTGGGCCAGCGTGATAACAGTCTCCGTTTTCAGCTCCTGCATTGTTGCCCGGATGGATGCCGACTTACACCTATTGATCACTCCTGCCACTATGTTCTTCCAGAAGGTATAATCCTTGCCCACCTTCAGTGGGGTCACCACATACTGTTGAGCAGACTTGGAGTACTGGTATTTATGTTGCTCCTCACCTTTCTTCGTTTTAGCTGTCTTCCTGTCCACGTTACTGTTGTGATCCAGTGCAGCAACTCACAGACGACACACAGACAAACTCTACCTCAGAAATGTCTTCCTCTTTGTAGCGTACTTCGTGTACAGGGAGTGAAGACTCTCTAGCTGTCCTGTGTGAATGCCCAGTGGGGTTTTCTCCAATTTCTTCAGGAGCTGCTTGTCAAGCACTGTCAAGACAGCAGAGCTAGGGAGGAGCCACGGACGTTGACTCTCTTCCTCAGGGGTGTAGGTAGGGTGCTCACACCTGGTCATTGTCTCACCAGATACCCAGTGGTGCACATTGTTTATGTGATGCAGGATCGAGATCCACTTCTTTCAACTTTGTCACACTTGGTCACACTGTTCTCGTTTCTAACAGATTTTCCTCACTCAGCGACGCACCCGCTGAGAAACCAACTCTGATCATTGGCAGCTCCATTTTGAGAAACGTGAAGTTAGCGAAGCCAGCGGCCATAGTTAAGTGCATCCCTGGAGCCAGAGCAGGCGACATTGAGTCTTATTTGAAACTGCTGGCTAAAGATAAATGTAAATACAGTAAGATTGTTATTCATGTCGGCGGTAATGACTCCCGGTTACGCCAATCGGAGGTCACTAAGATTAATGTTGAGTCGGTGTGTACATATGCGAAAACAATGTCGGACACCGTAGTTTTCTCTGGACCCCTGCCAAATCTGACCAGTGATGACATGTATAGCCGCATGTCGTCATTCCGCCGCTGGTTGTCGAGGTGGTGTCCAGCAAACGATGTGGGCTTTGTAGATCATTGGCAGACTTTCTGGGGAAGACCTGGTCTGATTCGGAGAGACGGCATCCATCCCACTTGGGAAGGAGCAGCTCTCATTTCTAGAAATCTGGCCAAGTTTATTAGTGGACCAAATCCATGACAACCCAGAGTTGAGACCAGGAGGCAGAGTCGCAGTCTAACAAACTTCTCTGCCTTTCTAATTCAGCAGTTACCCACCCAAAACCCTACGCAGAGTCGCAGTCTAACACACTTCTCTGCTCCTCCATTCCAGGAGTTACTTAGTGAAAATCCTATAGTGACGGTGTCTGCCCCCCGACCATCGAAATTTTTTAAATCAAAAGGTAAACAGAAGAGGAGCTGTGCATAAAAACCTCATAAAAATTAAAACCACAAGAGCAATAGTGCAAACGAATAGGAGAGTTAAATGTGGACTCTTAAACATCAGATCTGTCTCTTCTAAAGGTGTACTAGTAAATGAACTAATATCAGAT